GTGATAATTTTATTCGCGATTATTGTATTATGTTCGTAATGTAATACTAAACAATATATATACCTAAGTATGTATTCATTCTATTCGAGAAACTACACCCTATTAATTTATTAACACACACTCGAACTGATAATTGAACTGGAAATTAGTCTGCCTGACGCGACACGTTGACACTCCGAGCGCGAGCTTTTCTTTTGTTACCCATTGAGTTCGTACATTGGTTGGTACGACGCCGGTCGAGAAAACCAAAGGAATCTTGATTATATTCGACGTTAAGAAATTTTCGATTATCTGATTTGATGGTTGCATAAATCACAACGAATAGTACACAAATGCAAGTGTGTATATTTGAATCGAAATAGCGATCGTCCTTATTTCGCGAACGGCCCGAAGTTTTCCCGGCCAATCAAGTAAGTGGCTGCATTTAGTAGACATTAAGGCAGATAATTCGCAATATTGAGGTGTTAAACGTAATCCCGGCGCCACATTAAGACGCCCTTTATGCAGATTTCGCGTAAGCACTTGGAAATATTAAGAATGTTTTATGATCTAAATTCTGTTTAATAAAAAAAAGAAGTTTATTTGTGCACGCGACGAACCAAAAACAAAAGAAAAATGTCACGTTCCAAAAACGGAAATAAAAACAGATGCATGTTCAGTATATATATTTGTCGCTCTTTTGTACAAAAAGTTTTCGCCAAAGGGGAATTTAGGTGTATGTAAGTCCCGGCTTAAGTGTTTGTTTACGACGTAGACGGCGATGGTAACAGGCCAGCGCAGTAATCCGGGACATCATCCGGGATAAATTACAATTCGCAGGGATTTGTTTACATCACGTCTGGTTGCCGGCTAGAATGTGTACGTAATTTGCAGAGATCAGTGCTTAATCAGTGAAATAATGACGGAATTGAGTTCACTTTGTGTACCGAGCAGTTTCTCTCTCTCTATCGCACACAAATACACACTCACTTGCGTTCTCAATATGCCGTTTTTACAGCAAATTACATAGGTGCTTGTAAACCTGCAAAAAACACGCATTAGACTTGTTAGAAGCAGAAACAGGAGTTAAAAGGGGCAGAGTCTTCACACAGGAGAAATGATGATGAAAATTTGAGAACGACGAAACGTTTAATATGATGTATTATTACGCTTCCTTATGTACAGAATCTACAAAAAATTCTCCCTCCTCCCACCCTGCAATGTAAACATTTTCTACCTCTACCATCAATTTTCTTACGATACATTGATTAATACGTATCCGGATCGACAAAGGAACTCTGTCGCGCATAATTTCCATCCGAACCGGTATAATTTCGTTTGCATCCCGCAGGACTGCCGACTGCCGTCACGCCACAGCCAGAAAACCGACGAGGGCGGATGACGGAGACTTGAAAGCGGGGTAACGCCGTGTGACATGTGACATGTACCCGTTGTATACCTTGTATATGCATAGTGTGTATATATGAACATTTAAATGACGCTCATCCAAATCGAATTTCGCTACAATGGCGTCGCCAACCCATTTCCCATTTGCATAACGCCGTCGCATCCCGGAGGAAGGACCCGAAAGGAACGCGAGCAGGAGTTGAGTATGTTGTATGCATAACACAACAACAGATTCGTCGCGGATTTATTTTATGAGTTTCTCCTCCTGGTGGTTACTGTACACACCAGATGCGACCTTATCTCATCTTATATTCAGCTTCTCTCTTCTGTTTTCTTGTTGTTATTATTATTACAAGCACAATACGCTCCCTTTTCTTTGCCCTTAATTGCCCCGAGGATTAGACATTATCCGGGGGATAATCTCTATTCTATTTTTTGGATTGTATTAATCGGTTCTCTAGTAACTCGACTGTAACTACTTACTGTCTATCGACTACCGTGCGGTGTAATTATTTTTTTTTTAATCGGTCTTCGGTTGGTTTCGATCTCTCGTCCTCCGGTTATCAACTGGACCATTCCTATCTCCCTGTTTCTTGTTATTCAGATTCGTATTTTATGGAGATTTACGTTGTAAGCTTAATTTCCTGTTTAAAAAGCGACTAATCTGGCGAACGGATCGGTTATGGGGCAGCAAAAGGGGTCCTAAGAATCGACGAATGGCAGGGAAATGGACTCTCTTGATTTATTAGGGTGGAAACCCCGAGACCCATTCGAACGGATTCGATGTTTTCTTCGAAGAACTTCGAAACGAATTGTGCTCTATGAATAAATTTATCTATCGTATGACGTGGCAAACGTCATCGTAATGTAACTTTTGACGTATGGGGCGGCGGCGTTTTGACGTCCAAAAAAATTCTAGTGAATTATTTCGTGAATGAGGCATGTCAACAGTTAAAAGACACAACAACAGTTGTAAAGCGCCCCCACCTACGGGACCATTTTCTCACTCGGTCCAGGCAGGTAACACCCTTTACGTGTCCGGAGTGATGGGTCTGGACAGGGACACTGGAGAATTCGTTTGCGGCGGTGCGGGAGAGGAATTCCGGGAAGCCCTCAAAAATCTCGCTTGCATCCTCCAGGACGCCGGCTCGTGTTTCGACAAGTTAGTCAAAGTCACAATCCTCCTGGACAACATCAAGGACTTGTGTGTAGTGAATAGCGTTTACAGGGAGTTCTTTCCCGACGAGTTCCCGGCCAGGACGGTTTTTCAGGCGAAACTACCCATGCAAGCGGCCGTGGAAATCGAAGCGATTGCACTCGTCGGTCCCGTGACCGCCGGGGAACCGGCTGCCAACTGTTCGAAGAATACTGAGCGAAGAATGTAAATGTATGCACTTGTAACTATGTATTTTTGAGTGACGTGTAATGATTTTTAATTAAAAAATACAACAATTATACACACAACCGTAGGCGTCAATAACTGAACCAAGCCAAGAGAGTCCTTTGAGGATCCTTGTTCATCCAGCTCGGCGTTCCCAAAGGGATGTAATCGGGAATTTATAACTAACACCGAATCGGGAGACGATTCCCGACGGGATTTGTACGTAATACTTAGTAATAATCTGTCGCATCATCCCAGGGTTGAAAAGAATTGAGACAAAAGGGATTTTTAATTAAGACACGTTCTCTCCAACGTGGGGGGGGGTGTAGCGGGCGAGTAGCAGCCGCTCCCTTGTTCTCTCCCTCTCTCTCTCTCTCTCTCTTATGCTTCTCTCGAATTAAAGAAGTCCCTCAATTAATAATTAAAGTTTATTTCGAGTCTGAAGGGGTTAA